AGAGTATAGACAGAGTATAGACAGAGTATAGACAGAGTATAACAGAGTATGAGGACAGAATACAGAGGACATAATATGAGGATATAATTCAGAGGACAGAGTATAGACAGAGTATAGACAGAGTATAGACAGAGTATAACAGAGTATGGACAGAATACAGAGGACAGAGTATAACAAAATATGGGGACAGAATACATAGGACAGAGTATAGACAGAGTATAGACAGAATATGAGGACATAATACAGAGGACAGAGTATAACAGAATATGGGGATATGATACAGAGGAGGGGGTATAACAGAATATGAGGATATGATACAGAGGACAGAATATAGACAGAGTATAACAGAATAAGGGGACATAATACAGAGGAGTATAACAGAATATAGAGGACAGAATATAGAGGACAGAGTATGAGGACAGAGTATAGACAGAGTAGCAAGAACAGACTATAGATAGAATATGAAGGACAGAGCATATAGGACAGAGTATACAAGACAGAGTATAGACATAATATGGAAGAACATAGAGGTAGTAGTACAAAGGAGAGAATGTAGGGAACAGAGAATAGACAGAGTATAGAGGACAGAGTATCAAGAACATAGTATAGACAGAGTACGGAGGACATAATACAGAGGACAGAGTATAGACAGAATGTAACAGAATATGAGGACATAATAAAGAGAATAGGGTATAGATAGAGTGTAACAGAGTATAACATAATATGAGGACATAACTCAGAGGACAGAGTATAGACAGAGTATAACAGAGTATGAGGACAGAATACAGAGGACAGAGTATAGACAGAATATGAGGACATTATACAGAGAACAGAGAACAGACAGAGTATTAGGACAGAGTAGCAAGAACAGACTAGACAGAATATGGAGGACAGAGTATAGAGAATAGAGTATCAAGAACAGAATATAAACAGAATATGAAGGACATGATACACAGGACAGACTATAGATAGAGTATGAGGACATGATACAGAGGACAGAGTATAGCTGACTAAGTAGAAGACAGAGTATAGAGGAAGCAGTATAGAGGACAGAGTATAGACAGAGTATAGAAGAACATAGAGGAAAGAGTACAAAGGATGGAATGTAGGGGACAGAGAATAGACAGAATATAAACGACAGAATATAGCGGTTAGAGTATAGAAGACAGAGTATAGAGAACATAATGTATGGGACAGAATGTAGAGGACAGACTATAGAAGACAGTCTATAGCGTACAGAGAATAGAGAACAGAATGTACAGGATAGAGTATAGACGGAACAAAGAGGACAGAATACAGAGGGGAGAATGTAGAGGGAAGAATGTAGAATTTAGGGAACAGAGTATAGACAGGACATAGATCACAGAACATAGATCACAGTATATAGAAGAGACAAATACTCAGGAATACACTCGCTGCTTCAGATAATAGACTGGTGGTGCTAGATTGGGAGATGTTTGGAGGGATTGGGAGGTCCTTGAAGTTCTTCAGGGTGGTTTCCAAAAGCTAGAACTCCAATCCGGATGTGCTTCGGTTCTTGAAAAATTTAGCATCAATCTCATAAATTGCTTGATAGGATACATGTTCGATTTTGGAACCTCTCAAAAGGTCATCTGTAAGATCTTCGAGTTCTGGCATCCTCACGCAAGTTGAACGAAGAGTCACTGAAGTTCTGATTTTCCTCGAGCTCAATTTCTGATTCTAATTTCTCCAAAAAATCAAAATAAGTGACATCCCTTGTTCCATACCTTCTAGATACCATATAAATATTTTGTAGATACCACCCAAGTACCACTCAAATACCATTCGATACCATCTAGGTACCATCTGAATACCATCTAGGTACCATCTGAATACCATCTAAATACCATCTAAATATTATCTAAGTACCATCTGAATACCATCCAAGTACCATCTAAATACCATCTAAATACCATCTAGGTACCATCTGAATACAATCTATATACCCTCTAAATTACTTCTATCTACCATATAAATGACATATAAATGACAACACTATTCGAATATCCTATCCTTCAAACACCTTCCAATTATCATCCAATACCATCCAGATACCTCTAAATACCATAGAAATACCATCCAGATAGTCTCTGTATTCTTTCTAGATGCCCTCGTAATACCCTCGAAATATCATATAAATACCATATGAATACCATATAAATAAGATAAATACCATATGAATACCATAAAAATAAAATAAATACGATATGAATTCTATATAAATACCATATAAATAAAACAAATACCATATAAATGTCATATAAATATCATATAAATATCATATGAATAACATATGAATAACACATAAATTACACATTAATAACCTAGAATTACCCTTTAGACACCATTCCAGTACCATTCAAATATTTTCCAATTATCATCCAATTACCATCCAGATATTATCCAGATACCTCTAAATACCATATAAATTCCATATAAATACCAACATCCTCCTTCATCCTCCCTCATCTTCCAAAAGATCTCCTCAAAAGTTCACAAACCCCAGAATTCTCAGAATCACTCTCGTCTATACCGTGACTAACGGGCGGCGCACCGCGTCTCGATTCCAGGAAGATACTCACCAGCCCTTCAAACAGAGTAAAGCAGCAAAATATAATCCTTTTTTTGATCAGATGTACCTACCAAATATACAAAACGGCCAGAAGCACCGTTGCTTTCCAGCCGGGTTGCGGGGCGTTGCAACTCGCCGCGTCTGCTGGCATCGATAAAGCGTCTTAACTTAAGCCCTGTCCTTTCATGCTGCGTGTGGTCCCACCAAAAAAAAAACTAAAGTATGGGAGAAAAAATTAATGGGGCTTGACACTGGATGTCATGGGGCTCCAGACGCTATTCCATCTAGCTACATGTTATTTTTCGTTAGATACTGATATTACTTCTCTGATGTTCCCGTTTGATATTATAAGTCAAGCTAGCAGAGAAGCAGGTCTTAATAGAAGTAGTATATCTAATTCCCCACTTTGCAGGAGGATAACCCCTTCAAAAAGTAATAAATTTAAACCTCTTAAAGGAAAATCTTCGTGGTTTCCACGTCCAATACTGGCAAGGTCTCCGGTAGTCTGGCACATTGGTTCTCGCCATCGCAGAAGGCTCATCTAAAGCTCATCAAGTTTCGTCAAATGCCCGTCAAAGTCTCAAAGTACGATTTTCAAGATTCATAAAATTATAGCCTTTCATTTCTGGAAGGTTTGAGATCACGTGCCGATCTTGTACGCGTCTTGATAATTGGGGTGTTCTGAAGCCGGCCCTGCCTATTCGGCCCTCACTGCTGGTCTATATGCAGGCGCGTGTTCATGCAAACCAACGCTGGATGAGGCCATGGGACAAGCCAAATGGTGTTTTTACTTTTCAAAACTGTTTTATTTGTTGCATATTCTGGGCCGTCGTACGGGCCTATTTTTTTGGGTCTCCCGGGGCCTTTTACTGGCAGGATGGGAACTTCCCTTGATGACGCGGGGCGGCTAAAATCTGGCCTGGTAATTAGTTGGCACATTCGACCACAAATTTTCCCACACAATTTGTGCAAGTCTCTCTTCAAATTTGTGCAATTCTCTTGTCGGGTTTGTGGGAATCTCACCCCTTATTCCTGCCTATTTCTTTGAAGAGCACTGAAAAGCCCTCGGCAATATAGTTGAGTTTCGAGTGCCATGATATATGGGCCATGTGCCCTTGCTCGTCTCCCACCGAGAGCCCCTCAAACTGCCCTGTCCCAAAAGATGGCTCCCATGTTCTTCATCTGGTCCCCTCGGTCTACGGTCCGCTGGTCTATGCTTATCGTTCTATTATACAACGCGGCTTCCTCCGCTCTGCAAACAACCGGCCGCTCTGCGGTCGCCATTTGATGGCCCTCGCGGATTGCTTCAATTGCTCAGTTGCTTCTTCTTCTCCTTCTTCTCTTTCTTGGCCAACTTCTTCTGTCTCTTCCTCTCGCGCTTCTCCTCCTCGCCGCTTGATTCCTGCTCCTCTTCCTCCTGTTTTTCTTCCACATTCTCAGCGGCATCTGCCACCTCGTCCTCCTTTTCAGACTCTTCCCCGCTCAGTTTCTCATCTGGTTTCTCGGAGCCTTCCGCAGTCTCGTCGCTGGACTCGTCGCCAGCGGACTTTGCCTCGGCGCTGTCCAGGTCGTTTTCGTCGCTGAACTTGATTTTCTTGTTCTTGGGCTCCTCGGCACTCTCATCGGCCGGTCTCTTGGGCGAGTCAAGCTCGGCCAGTAGAGGAGGCAAGCCCCTCAAGTCTCTCTGTACCCTTTTCAACTGGCCCAAAATGGGGTTGTTTCCTGACGTGTTTGAGAGCCCGATTTTCGAGAAGGCAATGGCCTCGCTGGCGCTACTCGTGGCAATTGCCTCACTGGTGGAGATGAATTTGGTCAAAATGGCCTCGGCACGGGCCTGGTCCACGGGCTTGACGCCCGTCACGTGCGAGATCACCGCGTTGTTCAACGAGCTTGGCGCAGCTCTTCTTGGTCTGGAAGACATGCCTTGCTTTTTTTTTTCCAATGTGTGGCCCAGCCTTTGTTGCTAATTCGTTTCAGACTCGCCAACACTAAACTGCCGCATCTCATCGAAAAAAAGTGCCCTCAGAATACTCTGGGGCATGTATACAGGAAACCCGACCTTGTCGTGCGGGCTGCTCTGCGCAGGACCGCTCGGCTTTTCAGCTGGTGGAATTTTTCGCATACGGTTCCCTCGACCCAAGTGGGAAATCCTCAACAAGCCATAGCATGTTTTCCTTGGCCAGATGCATTAGACCAGCCGCTGTTCTCAGCATGGCTGCCCTGCGCCAGTTCTCTCTCCTAAGCAAGCCTGCGGTCTTCTCATCTTCGCCCATTTCCCCGCTTTCTCGCCAGCTTGCGCTGCCGGAACATCCAAAGCCTGTCTCGGCATTTCTGATGATCTCTTCACTCATACAAAAACGCTTCAAGTCCAGAGGTAACACCTACCAGCCCTCGACTTTGAAAAGAAAACGCACCTTTGGTTTCTTGGCCCGCTTGAAGTCCAGAAACGGCAGAAAGATCTTAGCCAGAAGAAAGGCCAAAGGCAGATGGTATTTAACTCATTGATTTGGGTGAAATCCGGGCTGAACGGATTCAGCCTCTTGGAAGAAATCTTTGCTAAAAACTTCCGGCAGAAGCAGCAAGTCTGCGAGTCAAGTCTGGCGAGTCTCAAATTTCCGCACTGCTCTACCCCCACGCCCTTTATTCTGTACATATAGTAGTTTTGCGATGCAAATAAACGTCATATCATTCACGCCTTTCCAAGTGTTTTCGAGTACTCACTTTCAATTTCATGGATGAGCTTTTGTAGCGTGACGATCACGAGCTGATGCGTGGCATCAGGAAACTTGTTCCGGTGCAACCCAAACCACTCAAGAGGCGGAGTGGCGTTGCCAAGTTCTTTCAATCGCGGGGCCTCAATGATCGCGGGGGCCAATGCCAAATATGTGAACTTTGATTTGCTCGTCACATTCTCCATCGTCTGCTGTATATCTTTGTCAAAATCCTTATGGGGAGCTTCAGTAGATGATAGCATTTTTTCCGCCTCCTCTCCCGCCTTGCTCGTCGAACTAACTGGATTTTGTGCAATGATGTCGTTGAAATCGAGGTCTTCTTTGGATGCTGCAGCATGGTTCTTTGAAGCCTCTGTTCTAGACAAAAGCGCCCTCTTGTGTGCCGAGTACATTTCACGGACACAATTCACCGAGCCCAAATTCCATCTGATATCCACCGTGCCCCCAAACGACGATTGGAAAAGATACTCCACGACATTTGTACCCAACTTCTGGTATGTCCTCATTGAAATCATAAAACGAGGAAACTCTAGGATGGTACCGCCTTTAGCTCTGGACGCATACTCGCTCAACGCATCAACATCAAACTCTTGCGTGTTTTCTTTCGTTGCCCCGGCTGTGCTCGAGAAGGATGCCTTCACATTGTTAAGTTGTAACTCAATTTGGTTGGAAACACCAAACTCGTACTCATTTTGCGTGAAATTGGCTGTTGACCTATCGAGATGAATCACAAACACCTTGCTATCATGAAATGAGTGCGGATACACGTGAAGAGTTGTTACACCAGTGAAGACCTCGATCTGAGTGTCTAACTTTTTAGCCACTTCGAGAAACTCGCTGGAGCATGCTCTACTCATCAAGCTCTCTTTGTTGGAATCCTTGAGAATCTCCTTGTAGGACGTGCGCTTTTCGTCAATCATACGAGAAATGGTCTCATAAATGTCGTAAAAGTCGGATACTGCCAAAGATGTCAAATATGCCTCAGCACGGGTATAGCGAATCGAAACAAAAAGATGGTCTTTGGAGACGTTTGTACCATTCTTTCTGTTGAACACATCAAATCTCCAACCTTTCAAGTTGGCAAAAGCAAACACATGTTCATCAAAAATAGACTTGAGCTGAATTTCGCCAAAGCCTGCAGCCATATGAACCAACGGTACTTCGAGCACTGGTAATTCGTCTAGCTTCCATTCAACAGCAGAGTTGAGAAAAAAGCCTCCCACCTTTAAGTACCCTCCAAGACGACCTTCAGATCCAACGAGCAAAGTTTGGAATCCGAGCTTTAATTCGTACGACCAACTTGATATTTTCTTTGATAATGCCCAACCTTTGTCGACTTCAAGAGCCATTATCCCCAAAGCGGGTCCGAAGTCAACCTCCAACATTATGTTAGAGAATATGAAATCTAGCGCAACAGAGACTCCGGAGACAGAGGAATCCTTGCAATTTTTCGGTGTTTGTGTATGATTTCTTGATGGTTCTTCATGTACCTCTTGTACACTTGAAGAGTAGGTCTCCGGAAACCATATATCACGAAATAGATCAACGTCTTGATACTGTTTCATTTTGATGTACCCACCAATGTCTGAAATGCAGCACGAGGAGACAATCTCTAAGTTTTGTCTGAAACCTAACATGCTTGACAACACAATATTCTTGATCAAAAGCGATCCGCTTCTTTCATCGGAATATATGTGCTGTAAAGACGCAGAGATCGAGTTTATCTGACCAAGAATATATATTGAGTCAAAGGCTTCCACGCCGGAACATGCCATAATAGACGCCCCATCATACTCAACAACAGCGGCAACCTTGGCCGTTGGTTCACAACTCAAGGAAATTTTTTGCTTTTCAATTCTTATCCCAACATGAATGTCTGCTTGTTCAAATAGTCTGCCAAATTCGGTTCCAAGATTGGAGGGCTTGCTCTCCTTATCGGGAATTTGAATCAAGCTTTGTTTCTCTTGAGAAATTTTGAACAAATCCTTAAATGTGTGCACAAAATCTTCCACCACCGGGACACAAGAAGAATAAACAGTATTATCGGATTGAGACATGAGGATTTCAGTTTTTAAAATATGTTTCACCGAGGCATTCTTTAAGTGTTTGTAGTCAATCACCATCAGCATGGCTGGAGATTGGAGAGTAAGTGAGTTTGGCTCCTCCTGTAAATTGTCCTCTTGAAGCTTATAGATGAAGACCCTGGCACCCACGAATACAACTGTGAATTGCACTGCCGAAAAATGAGGGTTGAAAGTTTTTCTGGGAGCTTCAGTTTTGGCTTTGGTGACGAGCTTTAATTCCTTGGAATTCTCTTTCATGTATGCTGCTCTCTTTGATTTTGCTACGAAATAGCTGCGCATCTCAGTTCCAGACTTCATTCCTCGCTCGATTAAAACCGTTGAATTTGACATGCATCGGACATCTAATTCATCACCTTTGAGCGTTAACCAAAGCTTTTGATGCTGATCGACGTAATAATTCAATTGTAATTTGGGCATAAAAGCACGGTTGAGGTTATCAATCTCCGAAGTGGAACTGTAGAAATTCGAGGAGGAAGATCCGTGCGCAACAGAAAGATATCCACCTATTACAGTCAATTTTCCCAAATCGGCTTTTGTTACTGCAAATATTCTCTCCGCTCCCAAAATCAAACCAGGATAGTCTTTATAAGAGGCTCCAAACAACCATCCGATACAAAAGTTGTATGATAAGACGTGGACTGAGGTGAAATAAGATCTTCTTGAACCGCTTCTCAAAGGTGGCAATTGCTCTTGTGGCAGTCTTTGAGCTGCAGATTTGTCATGTTCATCAATTACGCGCTTGAGACCATCGGTCAATTCAAAGATCTTGAATAGAATAGGGGGGCTCAAGCAGACACGGAAATACTCAGATTCGACTTGTAAGGATTGCCCGCCTTGTCCACTTTCTTTTGAAGCTGTGTTGTTCAAGAGTTTGACAGAGAGATGATAGTCCAATAACGTTGAGAGCCCAATGGAAAACAGAGGCGAGTATATTGTGATCCTGGTGACGGGAAAAACTAACTCCCCAGATACAGGGATCATAGGCATGTTCCGGCCTGCAGACTTAGCCAATGACACCCTTGAGTCTTCGAGCTCTATTGTCAATCGAGTTTGATCTTTAAAAGTGAACCAGCCGAAGTATTTTTGTGTCAATTGAACTTTGAAACAAAAATTATCTGTTTTTGATTCGACTGGGGTTATTTGTTGCGCGACGTCTGTGGACTTATTATCGGATTTTGTGTGAATCAACAGGCTATTGAGTACCGCTCTCCTCAACGTGTCAATTTTCTTCTCGATGACATTTTTGTTCTTTAAGAAGGTATCTAAAGAATTCACGAGCAGAGGGGTGATTACTTTGACGTAATCTGAAAGTATGTCTGTTTTAATGAGCCAGATATCCTCTAGTCTCGTGGCTGTCGTTGAAATGGAAAATTCGGAACTTTTGGACCTCATGACAGAGACATCATAGATACCAATTTCCAGCGAGAAGCTCTTGTGAGAGTATTCTCCGAAATTTTCGAAATCAGAAACTTGAATGTTGGACCTTGCTCCTGCCAAAATTCCTTGGATTTTGAGTGGGTGTAGTATATCTATCAAAAACAGAAATTTCTCGACGCTAAATGCCAGGGTAACACTTCTCGCAAAAAGAGAATTTCCAGTTTTTGTACTTTCAACCAAAGTTTTGTTCCCTTCGCGAGGAGTCTTGAATCCGGAAAACGAACTCAAATCCTCATTCAAAAATTCGGTGATGACAGTTTCAATAGTGTTCTGGTCATCGAATACTTTCAAGTTCAAATCTTTAGTATTCAGCTGAAGGACGAGAGTAATCTGTGAAATATCTTTCAATCCTGTGGCGATCAAACTTGTTTCTTCAGAAACCAAGCTCAAGTATTTTACATCTTGTTTACCGAAATGGATACCCATTTCTCCCAAGGTCAGAGCCCAGCCGACACTGAATGTAGATCCCATCGAAAGAGTACCAATTGTTGATGCAGCAAACTCGTTGATTGCCATATCAACGTGCGTATTAATGAAATTGAACCGGCAACGCAAGGAACTCAAGTAGATTAGGATTGAGAAGACAAAGTTGGTGCTCCCGGTATTCTCCATATCGAAATTTTTTGCGCTGTTCCTGTTCCCTGCTATATCAGAGTTTCTGAAGAGATCCAATATTGAAATTATTGAAGAGTTCAAAGTCAGGTCAATAGCGTCGACGTTCAATACGATGTCGACTCTCTTGCTCTCATTTTTCACTTGTCTTTCCGTGTCTTTAGTCTTGGTGCCGAGGAGAGTTGTTGCTTGGAGATTGATTTTTGAAAACGCGAGATAGTTGTCCGTTGATCCTGTAAGATTAATCTCAAGACTTGTGATTTTGAAGAAAGCTTGAAGCCCATTATCAAACCCTTTTGACTCGTTGTAGATCCGATATAGAAAATTTTCTCGCTGTTTCATATTACCCTCCCATGGCCTCCAGGCTTTAAAACTTTCTGACACGAAGACAAATGCATCGTTTGGTGCTTTCTGTGATTCGTTGTTTGAGCTGTACCGATTTCCCTCACTGGATATCATCTCTTCAGCTATGCTTCTTAATTTGGTTAACATTTTCCATGATTCATAAAACCTTACGTGATCTCTATTGGATCTCAAAATCCTGGCCGGCTTCGTGATCACTTCAGGATCTGACAGTATCTTGTTGACCAACGCAAAGTTGCATAGAGAATAAATCAAGTCTCTTTTCCATCTCTGAGAGTTTTCTGTGCTCCTTTTGAAGTTCTGGATGGCTCTGTCTGCTCCCTGCAATAGAGATTTCACAAAACAAATTATTTCTGGCAACATTTGCTCATCAGCATTTACTTTTAATGCATTCAACAGAAAAGAAACTACCAGCGTACTCTCCTCATTTTTCGTACACCATGACTCAACTCCAGACGCCTGTACTGTGAGTGCAGCCGCAAAACAGCTGGGAGTCGAAACAGACGCATAGATATCGCTGACATGTAGTGCTAAAGTAAGCGCCGATTGTTCTTCCAAGTATGACCCTAAGCGTGTACGGTAATTTTGCTTTCGAATCACGACTGAAGGTTCCGATATGGTCAAGGTCAACACTGGCGATGATGGGGATGTGTAAAAGGCGGACTCTGGAAAAGACATGCTCTGTTCAACAATTCGTACGTCGACCAACGGACTCACGAGTCTCACATTGTCAATCGTGGATATAGGCAAGATAAGGTGCTTGAGTTCCTTCATGATGCCGCACTGTAGCTTGTCAAGCAACATTTCGATGTCCGAGTCTTCGGTGCCTAGAGCTAACTCAGACAACCCCTGTAGTCCTTTTGGGCAAATACAGGCCTTAAAAGTCTCGAATTTCAAGACCAAAGAGTCATTCTTATATTGGTCCTCTGGTTGAGACAAGGGTTTGAAGTCATCATCCATGTAGGTTGTTGTTGGGTACATTTCATCCCCAGCTACCGAAGACTGGTCCAGACTCGTGTATCCAGATAAGCTTTCCGCTGTGCTGCGCGATTCGCTGGTCTCTGAAAACGAAAGATAGTCGTTTGTGAGCGGGAAAGAGGCTATTGGAAGCGAGATCGTCGAGAACATCGAATTTTTTGCGGCATTGAACTGCTCGTCTCTTTCTTCGGGATATAGAAAAAAAGACGTTCTGTGCGTTGTAGCATCATTTCTTTTGATGTGCTCGTGTTGAAGATCTCTATGTTCTTTCATGTTGAGTTTCTGGCCGAAGTTTGTTAGATGAAGCGAGGTTTCCACAAAAGCATTGTACTTGATACCCTCCGACTCGTCCGTGATTTGCATGACGATTCGAGGTAGCAAGAAAGAGTCACGAGTTGAATAGCGGTTGTTAGCTACATCATTGAATGTCGCAAGGACATCATCTAAGTGGACCTCTAGAAATGTTTTGGGGGCATCCATTTGGAGTCTGATCCTAATTTGTGGACACCTGAATGAGAAGTGAGCAGCGTCGTACACAACGGGAACCTGGTAGATAAGGGAATTTTCGAGGTCCTTGTAGCCCAAGATGAAATTGTCCAACAGCATGTCGATGCACGATAATATGGACGGGGGCCCGTCGATGGAGATCAAGTCGCACGCGAAGTCCCACTTGCAGTGATAGGTAAGGTCGTCCACCCCAAGCATCCTGTGCGTGTGGACGCTGAAAGTGTCGATGATGATTTCGGGGGCCCGCAGGGCAAGCAAGTCGCTGTAAATCAGGCGATCGAAGACAGTCTCCCGCGAGGGGAGGGTATCTGCGGACACCTGGAAGCCCTTTGCGGTGCTGAAGTCTGCTTGGAGATCCATGTAGAGCAGGCAAATGTGGATGTCGACGTCAAGGTAGTCGAAGGACAAGTTGATGTGGTTGGCATGGTCGTAGATCAGGCACGGCACAACGATCATGCCTTGCCTTGCCATGAAGGAGAAGAGGAGGTGGACGTCGTTTTCGGCCTTGGGGAAGCTCCAGTACTCGGTGCTAGTGTGCTCGGACGAGCTTTTGAGCGAGGCGGACGCGGAGTCCCTGTTGCCCATGCCCTCGCTCAAGATGTACTCCTCGAAGGTGCGGAAGTTGACGAAGTCGCCGAAGTAGTTTTCGCGGAAGGTGAAGAGGCAGCGGATCCAGTAGCCGTGGAAGAGAAGCGTGATGTCGTCGGCCGTGACGTTGATGGTGGCGAAGTTGTTGTGGTCGAGCTCAACGTTGGCGTAGTAGGTGTAGGCGCCCGCGAGCTCGAGCGGGCCCGTGCAGCCCATCTTCCTGGAGCCGTGCATGAATGCGCCAGCGGTGTGCCACGGAGGCACCATGAGCGTCACGTCCAAGCGGGGCACGGACACTGCGTAGTCCACGGTGGAGCAGGCCGCGAACATGCCGTCGGCCGGGATGTCCACGCGCACGGCCAACGAGGGCGCGCTGCAGCAGATGTACTTGTTCGAGTCGAAGTCGAGCGGGTCGTTGATGATGTTGTGGTCGTTGACATTGAAGAAGAGCAGCACGTCGCGCACGGCCCAGCGGAGCGCGTACGTGAACGCCCGGTGGTGCTCAAACGCGGGCGGCAGCCCGGCGCCAAAGTCCGCCACCACGTCGGCAAACAAGGTGACGTGCTCGCGCAACACGAAGAAGCGCCCGCCGGCGGAGTCCATGTCGAAGGACCACGCGCACGGGCCGTTCCACGCGAGCGGGAGCCCGATGTCCGCGCGCACGGCGTGGCGCTCTGCGGCAAACACCACGTCGTGGGTCACGGACGTCCGCACCTCGAGGCCGGCCGCGTCGAGCGCGAGCGTGTGCGGCCAGCCGCGCGCAGAGGCCTCGAAGACCGTGGCATGGCGGAGCAGCGAGCCCGCGCCGAGCTTGAGCTCGAGCCAGCCGAACGGCCGCGTGTTGCTCGGCTTGGCGTCGTCGCGCGCCGCGAGCTCCTCCTTGTCCTTGCTGAACTCGCGCGTGGGCACGCGCACAATGAGCTCGGTGCGCGCGACCACCAGCACGTCGAAGCCCGCGTACGAGCGGCGGGCGCCCGGCGGGCACGGCACGGCCGCCCGCGCGTCGCGCGCCAAGCCGGGGAAGAAGAGCGCCTGGAGCGGCCCGCGCTGCCGCTCGGCCCACGGCCCGTAGTGCACCGTCGCCGTGGACAACACCAAGTCCACGCCCGTGCGCGGCGGCCCGGGCGCGTCGCCGCGCGGCTGCACGCCCGGCGTGTCGTAGTAGTACACGAGCTGCGTGGCCACGGAGTCGAGGAGCAAGCTATACTTGGCGTACTCCTCCGAGTCCGGCGCGGCGGCCGCGCGGCCCGCGGCAGTGTCGCCGATGTATCGCCGGAGCCCGAGCCACTCGGCGGGCCCGTCCGTGTGCGTGGCGCGGCGCCGGCGGAGCCGGGCGAGTGCCTTTCGGAGGCCCCGGAGCCCGCGCACGCCGGGCGTGTTGCGTGCGCCCCGCGGGGCCAGCGCCGCCGACGGCAGGCCCGTGCCCGTGTAGCGGCGCGCGTCGTGCGTGATGTTGGGCTTCATGTGCACCTGGAAGCGGTCCATGTGGAAGTCCCAGGTGGAGCGGCCGGCGTCGCAGGGGGCCGCGGAAGGCGCCACGTCCCAGAGGCCGCGGGCCGCGCGGAACGACGCCACAAGCACGGCCGGCGCGGCGTGGTTGCCCAACACGAGCGCGCCACGCTTGACGGTGGTCTGCAAGGGCAAGAACAGGAGCCACGAGGCCGGCGGCGGCGCGGAGCGCCGCGTCCATGGCGTCGTACGCGGGCGTGCGGTTGTACATGAACACCTCCAAGCCGTCGACGTCCAAGCGCCATGCCGGCGGCAGGCGGGCGTTGTGGGCCGCGGAGGACGCGGCCGCGGGCTCCGCGGGGTCGGCGGCAAAGTACACGCGCGGGAGCCGCGTGGCCCGCACGAGCCAGTAGCGCCACGTGAGGTTGGCGCGGAGCAACGACACGGTGTAGTCCGCGGTCAGCACCACCACGTTGCGGGCCATGATGCGGCCGCCCAACGGCGCCACACGGAACGCACCCACGGTCACGCGCACGCGGTAACGCTTCCAGAGCACGGCCTTGAGGAGCGCGGAGAGGAGGAAGCCCACGAGGCGCGCGAAGTAGAACACAAACGTGACGCTGAGGATCACCACCAACTCCCAGTTGACGAGGTACTCCCAGCTTGCCATGGAGGCTGTGCCCAGCAGCGAGCTGAGGGAGGACGCCATGGCTGTGTGTGGTTTGTCTGTGTTTGTTTGTATTTGTTTGTTTGTATTTGTTTGTTTGTATTTGTTTGTTTGTGTTTGTTTGTTTGTTTGTGTTTGTTTGTTTGTGTTTGTGTTCTTTTTTGTTCTTTCTTGTTCTTTCTTGTTCTTTCTTGTTCTTGTTTTTGTTCTTGTTTCCGTTGGTGCTCTCGTGGGCCCAGAAGAAGAAAAGTAGTGCCGATAGGGCCAGGGACATGGGTGCGAAAGATGGGGTGGCCCTGGCGCGCAGCCTGTCTGGGGAAGTCAGGGCCGCGGGCCTGGGGAGCTGGCGGCAAACGCCAATTCGGGAGTTTGCAATGTGCGTGATTTGCGTGTCGCCACCATCTTGGGTTCTATGTGCAAAGGCAGTGTGATTTTGTGAAATTCTGAACCGCGGGCTCCGTGGAGCTCTCCGATTGGAAGGAGAATGTGGAGCTTTGGCTTGTGATAGTTTCTTCGACTTGTACATACAGCTATATCTTCGCACAGGCTTCAGGCAAGCGCCTCGCCCAACACTTTCATAAGCGATACTGGAGACCTGTATAATTCGACCGCCCGGTGGTTTCCATTTGTTGCTAAAAGCTTTAACCAGGGCTTCCGGGCCAGATTCCAACTTTCCTAGGAAAAGACGGGTGGTCAGTGATGGGGCGAGTTGGCGTGCAGAGCGCCTCGCCGGAGAGGCCGCGTCACGTGACGCCGCGGCTTCAATTTGCACCCAACATGGGACTTATGACAGAAAAGCCGGCAAAGACCGAGGCTATGCAAACTGCATTCAGGCTGGAATTTGAACGGGTGGAAAAAAATGCTTAGACTTGGCAACGCCTGCAGAAACGAGAAAAACATTCATCCCCAAAACATCCATAATGTTGCACCTTCTGTGGGTTCGATCTCTGAGCTCTCAACTAGATCTGCCGTCACATTCGGCCCAATGTTCATGTAGAAACCAGAGTCCCAGATCTCCCCGCGTAGTGTGTTTGAAGGTTGAAGCAGTATTCAGAACTCTCCGCCAATTTTTGACAAGTACTGCGAGAGTCGTATCCAGCGTGAAGCAGCTTGCTTCCTTGGGATTCCATTCGGCACGCCTGTCCTGCAGCTTGATACTGGGTCATGGGTATGGGCATAATCAATATGGTGGGCCAGATCCATGTCACGAGGGTCAGAATGCTTTTTGTCTTCAGTCACTTTTAAATGATTTCTAAGATCCACTCATATCGCCATACCAACAGCCGCACATTCTATATTCCAAGTGATAAAACATTCCTTTCGAATTTTGCCCGCGTTTTCATTTGGCTTGACGCATGATTCACGGCTCATGCGATTCTTCTTGTTCTAGGAGGTTTTCTGCAACGAAGAGTGAGAGGCGCAATTATAACCACGTAGAAAATGTCTTGGTGTGCCATTCACTTCCGTAATAGGACGCTGGCTCCATAGGGCTCAACACAGTTTGATACCCAAAAGACGCAATGTGCGTTACCAAAATAGACGGAAGCGAGCTACTGACTGACAAAGAATTAATTGCTGAGCTTTCCTTGCTTGTGTTGAGATTCTTGGCAAAAAAATGGTGTCTATGGTATATCTGGCTGGATATGCAGTGGAGCGACCCGTGGGTTGCCCTGCCTGCCGCTCTTTTAAATAATTTTTGTGGCTGGTGGCTGTTCGTTGGTGAAAAGAAAGAGAGACTAGTGAGCTAAGAAGTGTATTTGTTCTTTATTGTAAAGAGATGGAAGGCTAAATAAAATTAAAGGATATGGAGAATAAAATGGTGTCAACTGGTCATGCTGAGGTAATTTTCGCAATCTAATAGATATAGGGGGTTATCCCTCCTTGACTGACTATACGCAAATTTTCTCTCTGATATTACCGTAGCTCTCCTTCATAGATATCTTGAGATAACCTTTCTCTAAATTTTCCCATATCAACTGCGTTGGTCGTTTGTCTGTAATTTCTTCACTGTATGAGGCTGGCCTGATAGGCTATAGTTTTGTTTCTTCGAGAGAAGAGAGGGGATCCCAAGACTAATAAATAAACAAATATATAAAAGCTGGGAAGAATAACTTATGAATGTAGCTGGGAATCAAAACGTGGCCTCGGCGAAATTGGAATGGGCCTTGTTGGTTGAGACGGTCATGTTTTCGCGCTTTATTGGTGAGATATTGAGTATTCTAGCTCGGCATTCATTGATTTTTTTTTTTTTTGCTTCATTTCCATTTACCTCTGGCGACTATTTTCACTGATTGGGCAAAAATACATGGGGCCATATTGAGCTGTAGGTGCTTGTTTTGTTCTCATCTAGGTCGAAAGTACTTGGTCAATGGGTTCTTGCAGTCGAAGTGAATTTGTCATTAAAGTTATAGAAACCCATTCTTTGTTTTTCAATTAACAATGTCAGTAAAACTATGTTTGGAAATGTAAAAACATTTGAATCCTTTTTGATGAAACAGAGTTTAAATCCCCTGAGTGAGACTTGAGCAGAATAGCTTTATTTGCATAAATTTTTGTATTCTTAATTTGTGAATGGATTAATCATCATTTAAATAAATTGATATTTTTATATAGGTTTAAAAAGGGGCCGTATTCCTTTCAAAATTATTGGCGGGGCTCACATTAAATTGGGAATGGCAGATTGTTGGATAGTACTATTCTTTCGAATCAGCAAAATCTCCTTTGAGTAGGAAAATAAAACTTACAGCTCAAGGTATATTAACGCTTTGTCGATGAGGGGGACATTTACTATGACTCTCTAGTCAAACGAATAGAAATCATTGGTCTGTATATTCGGGTAACTTTGAAGTAACAGAGATAGAATATTTCAAAGTAGCGGCTTCTTAGGCAGGAAACGGACCTGGGCTCTAGTCTTGCGACGATGATGTTCTTCTTTTCTCGTATACCACGGGCCAATGTCTGTTGCACAAGTCAAGCTCATAATCTTAATTTAAAAATGAAGCAGAACTGACAAACAAGGGAAATATTTTCTTAGAATTGTAGGAAAAACAACTTCCTGATTCTTCTTTTCTCAAAAGGTTTGGACTCCCTATGCTTGAGATCTCAGTTTGTAAAAGAAGAGACGATTAAACATTTCTCTATAGACCAGTAGGTCGGTACACCGCGTGTTGTGATTTTTGTATACTAAGGAATTCTATCTCGCCTCTGGGCTGTTTCTGTTTTTGAACACCTGCTAAGATCAAAAATTTCGGGTAGAGTATCTCGTCGGCTAAGTTGGGAGGGCAAATGGAAGTGCACCCCTGGTGCCCTGATGAAGAACTGTAGTTTGTGGGAGCATAGAGACAATGAAATTATAAAAAGGATAGCGATTTCTATGAAAAACCATTAAAATAGTGACCTTGGTGATGAAAATGTTGAGAGTTTCTTTGAGTTATTTTGTTTGCCGTTAGGTTAAAAAGCGAAATCAACACTGTGAATAGCAGCGAAAAAATATGGAAATAAGAATTGTTTGAGAATGTTCCTTCGAAAAATGCTCAAGAATTTCAGCAAATTTTACCTTTGCTCATATCAAAGAAAAGAGTTGTGGGAAGAAGTTGATTTTTGCTGCTTACGCCTATTTACGTGTGTGGGCCCGATAGCCCGAATCCGCATCTGATTAAAAGGGCATAAAAATCGGCGAGAAAACCAATTCATAGATAATTACCACCACCAGCTAATAATACTGTCAGGCCAACTCTGGACCACAAATGCTTACAGAATTAGCAATTAGAGTTTGCAGATACATCTGTATATTGTGTTCAACATTTGAAATTTTCGGTTGCGGCCATACCATGCAGGAAGCACTGTTTCCCGTCCGATCAACGTTAGTTAAGCTGAATAGGGCCACACTGAGTAGTGTAGTGGGAGACCATATGCGAAATTGTGGTGCTGCAATCTTTTTTTTTCACTTCCCGATGTAAACTTATTCGCTAATTAGCTGATGAGAGGAAGGCATGTCTGGCAGTGCGGGAAATTTTGCATGAGCAGGTAAGTTATATTGCATTGCATCGACGAAAAGGAATAATTGAAAAAGTAGAATACTTCTCTTAGAAGACATGCAATGCGATACCTATACACTTAACATTACTTCCGACATAGAACAAAGAATTGTCTCATATACAATGGAGCTACTCTTACAGACGGAAATGGTAGTATCTATATATCCAGACTGAAATATGTAAAAGAGAGTATTTACAAAGCATTTTTTTTCAAGTGCCCGTAGCAACTCAGCCAAAAAGAAGGCTTCCATACTAAACTTGTATTTGTTTTCGAACTTCTTTGCTTTCTTCTCGTATTTCTTGCGACTTAATCGGATAAAGCTCTCATTCTTTTTCCCAAGCTATAGATACATGTTTTTTAAGAACGGAATTTACTTTTTTTTCAGAAGTGCCGCTATCTTACTCACTGAGTAACCAATACTGTGTATCAAAAGCCTCCAAAAACTTGATGTCAGAAATCCAGATTATATCGACGACGCCTGTTTTCCTAGGATTATATGGCCTCAAGGCCCTATAATGCAACTTAAACACTTAGCGCTAAATACGAAAACAAAAATTGAGTTTGTGCCGGGCAATCTAGCAATGAAAGAACTTTACTCTCCTCGAAAAATCAATTATGAATTGTCTCCATAGCACTAATACAGCGCACTAGGCTGATCAGCAAAACTCCATTCCCTTTTTAATCTCGTCTGATTAAAATTCCATACATAGATTTTGCTATCCAGCTGCCTAATTCATCCTTCTTATGTGGCATTCGCTTAATATTCGTACACTTATAGATTGCTCGGCCAATCTGCTGCACGTATTCAATGTGCACTTTGGACGTTCATGCCTTGGTTTTACAACCACACAAAGGAAACTTCTTGAGTATTTCACAGTCCTGCGTGTCCTCAAAGAGTGCTCTTTTTAGAATTTGAAGAAAAAAAGATATCATGAGCTGAAGAAAAAGATTCAAGAAGACCAGACCCTAAACGATCTTCCCCCCGTATCAGCAACCAACAAGAACATGTTCTCACCAAAACATATTTCACTGTTTAAGTAGATTTTCTTATTGTCACCAACTCTCTTATATAATCTGACTTTATGATAAATGTCCTGTTGCCAATTTCACCACGTCTAAGGGCACACGGTCACAGATTTCACAAGCTTAGAAATTTGAGAAAGACAAGAGATTTTAGCACAAATGAGGCTTATTATCGCGAAAGCTCTGCTTTAGTAATTGACAAAAATAGAGAAGAAAAGGTTTTTTTTTCTCGGTTTCGGGACACCAGCTAGAATTCTTCTGCAGCCAGTACATCAATGGCCATAAGCTACAAGATCGCAGCTCAGGTTTGGTTTTAAGCTCAAACAGCTCTCTGCTTCCTTGAGCAGAATGTGCCTGAGGCACCGTTTCTATCGCCGGTGTTCGCAAGCCCATAGGCGCAATGCAGCACCGGTTATTGCAGACTCACAGACGAATGTTCCCATTACCCAGCTTTTTGGTGTGAGATCAGACTAATGATGATATTCTCTCTGCCGTGGTATGCTTATATAAATTGCTTCAAAATCTCTTGTTCTCAAAAGCTACCTGTGTGTTGGTAATAAGCTGCGTTTTGTTGTGCTTCCTTGCCTAATTAGGAAACACATTTACCACCGTAAAAATCGAAAGTCAACGGAAATCAGTACATGGTGAACTCAATAGAATAAAGGTGACCATATAATTCTAACTTAATCCCAAAGAATTTAAAATTAACTCAAAAAAATGAATTAAGCTCAACAACATATCCTTGCTTCGCTCATACGGCCGCACTCAGATCTCACTGATAATCTCGTTTTCAAGTCCTCAAAACCTGACGCAAAGAGGAAAAGGAGAGAACGGAAAATGGAAAAAGGCTTTATAGTTGCAAAATAGAACATAGTCTGTCTAAGCCAAAGTAGCTTCTCCAACCACACGCCGTCTTTCACCACTGTCCTCCCCTGATCGCCAATTCCTGAAAGGCTGCTTGCCTGCACAAAACAGGGCCGATCCGCGCAAACATAAACATGAGCCAGATCTTAGTTCCACTACTCCTCTTCTTTATACCTGAAATACCCATAAGTCTACTTTCAGACACGCTAGGACACCTGAAAAAACGCCAGGAATAATGTCGACAAACAGACTCAAGCTCCATACTGACAAGGAGAATGAACACAAGATTGCCCTGGCGAAAAACGAGCTACGAAACCCGGCGCACAGGGAAATACCCGCCGGCACCAGCGTGCCCACGAAACGACCCCTCTCTGCAAAAAGCAACATCAACGAAAAACGTGTTAGAGTGCCGTTGGGCGGAAAAAACCACAACCAAGCTTTCCCGGGCCTACAGAGGTCGAAACTGTCGTTGCCGCTGACCTTCCAGACGCCCTCTTTAAGACAGCCTGGCCTGACTCTCCAGGGCGACATTCTTTCGACAAAACCCACATTAACTAAGTCAAACCTGTCGCTAGGATTTTTTAACAGGGTAGCGAAACCCAGCGCGCCTGCTCCCCGCCCAACCAACCCACACAAAAACACACTTTTCCCGCTGCAGGACCTGCACCGGCCCAAGGACCTTATCCCCCGTTTTCTGTCCGACGATTTGATCAAAGCGGCCCCAAAGGCCTTGCATCCTCTCCAGACATCACTCAATGAGACACTTTCCGACGCGACCGCTCAACTTCACGCTTCAAACGTCCCGTCGCAAGAGCATTTTGCCAAGAACAGAGATCCGATCAAGAAGGGTACATTCCGCCCGGAGATTGAACTGCTTATTGAAGCGCTCGCAGAAGACGAGAACAGCATAGAGACCGTCCCCGAGGCCGAGAACCGCGAGCCGCTCGATTACGTGCCCCTGGGCGTGTCGCCCTTGTCCAAGGCAGAGGCGCCATTTCTCTACGAAGAGGAAGCGCCACGTAAATTGACCGATATGTTTGCCCCAGACGAGCAGTTCTTCTCCGATGACGAGGAGCAGTGTAGCGATGCAGAGAAAGAACTGAACACTGCGTTTTACCGGGAATTGAATGGCACTGAAGGCAACACGGCCTTGGGGCTCACTGCCGCGGACCTTGAGGACTTGCTTGACTTCTAGCTGTGTTCCACTATGTACACAAACGACACCCACTCCATACCCAATACTATATACACTGTCGATGCGTCGCCATCCATCCAAGCCCCGAGCTCTAGGCCAATCTTCCGCTCTGCCAGGCACCACTTACTGTGCCGTACATTCGGGGGAAGGCTCGCCATGCGCGTAATACTCATCCTCATGGCCTTGGTACCCGTGAGCTCCGCCGTGTTGGCGGTGTTGGGTGTTCTGGGCGGATTCGGGCTCTTCGTATTTGGGAAGCGTGTCTGCACGTGAAATGGAAAAGTCCGTCACGTACTCGATGTTCGCCTCGGGCAACAGGTCGGCCAGCACACTCTGCTTTTTCTTGTCTGCGTCATTGCGGAGATCCGTCGGAAGCAAGTTCTTGAGCTTGTACACGTCGTTTTTCTCCAAGTACCAGTTGTCGGAGGGAAATTCGATCTCGATTTCCACGTACAAGTCGCCGCGTTTCTTTTTCGAAGCAAACCAGCCCAGCGCCTTGTTATGTGCGGGCATGCCTTCGCCCGAAACGCGGATGTAGTCGCCTGGCCGGACCACCTTGCCCGTCGGCGTGCTGAGGTGGATAGCCCGGCCATCCAAATGCTTGGCCACGATTTTCGAGAAGCCCAGGAGGGCCTCCACCAACGTGATCTTGTACTTGACGAACAAATCGTCGCCCTTGCGTGTGAACACCTCATGTTCTTTGCAATGGAACGTGAGAATCACGTCTCCGGCCTTTTTCCCGGGAGCCTCGTCGGACTCTCCAGCCAACACCACCAGCTCACCTGAGCGGGCGCCTGGCGGAATCTCGAACTCCAAGATCTTGGTCTCCTCCGTGACCAGTGTTCCGCGGCACGCCTTGCACTTGTCTTTGGTACGAAAGGTCTTTCCTTCGCCGAGACACAGCTCACAGTCTACATGGAATTGTGAGACCATTCCAGGCCCGACGCGCTTGATTTTGGTCGTGTACCCTTGGCCGTTGCACAGGGCACATGTCCGGGGAACCGCCTTCTTGCGGGCGCCTGTTCCGTGGCAGCTGCCACAGAGAACGTCACGAGTGGAGGTGATCTTGACGGTTTTGCCTTTGAACAAGTCTTCCAACGTCACGTCAACCTCCAATTCCGCGTCGTCGGTCTTCTGCTTCCCGCGTGTCCGGGATCTCCCGCCAGAGTGTGGTGGAGCGCCTCCGTTCATATTCTGGAAGAAGTTATAGAAGTCGTCGGCGCCATACTGCTGCGAGCCATAGCCATCGCCATACGGATTGTTGCTGAAGCCCGGGCCTGTTTCGGCAAACCCGTCGGCTGTGCCGTAAATATCGTAATCCAGTCTTTTGGCCTCATCGCTGAGAACCTCGTACGCACGTGAGATCTCCTTGAACTTGATTTCGGCGTCCTCCCGCTCTTCCTCAGAAACTTTATCGGGATGGTAACGAAGCGCCAACTTCCTGTATGCCTTTTTGATGTCGCCCAGCGACGCGGACCGCTCCACCTCAAGGATTTCGTAGAGATCGATTTCCATGTTGAGCGGAAAAAGTGTGTTTCTTTACAGCCGCAAAGTAGCCTGAACTCGGTTCTTTCTCACGTCGCTCTCGTATTTTAAATCTACAAAGCTGTGCCCATCAGGACTGCATGGCGGACGTGCAAGCCCAGCGTGCAAGCCCAGCGTGCGAGCCAAAAATGGAGGGAGCACAAGCATTGCAAAAATGTCTCGAAGAATAATCGACCCGTATTTAGAAAAATAAAAGCGTTGCAAAAAAAAAAATGGCAATAGACGCCAAAATAAAAAAAAGAAAGCGACGTGGACAGGATTCGAACCTGCGAGAGCGAAGCTCATGAGGAGGTGCTATTTAACCTGCACCTCACGCCTTAACCACTCGGCCACCACATCAACAATACTGTATGTGATTGTGAACTAGTATATCAAGTAGACAAGGCTTTACGAGCACGAAAACTGATATACTCATCCATTCTGGAATTCTGGTCAAAATTGCTCGTTCTCTTTTAAACAAAGTGTAGGATATTGCACAAACAAGCCGTATTTAAGAGCTCTTCGGGGTTCATAACTGATGGGCCGATGACATAACTTGAAGGGCTTCGGCCAATGGTATTGACAGTTACTCTCTAAAGCAATGATAGGAATACACCTAATACCTTAGAACAAAGATGCACCACTACAAAAAAAAGTCGCATGTACCAACAAACACGCCATGCTACGAACTATAGCCATGTCCGGATGGCATACCTTTTTGCTCGACAAAACGGGTCAATTCTTTACACACTGATTCAAGACTTCGATGTCCTAGTGTTCGGGTCACAAATGGGAGGCTGGCTGTGAGCTTTGCCCACTTAAGCCTTTCATTAAGGTGCTTAAGTATGTCGTCAGGTCTCTAAAAAGATGAGATCTGGGGAATCGAAGTGATCTAATCGAAATTCAGCGTAACTTCGTTGGAAGTCAAGAAGTTTAGATTTCTCGTAGCTTATTCCATTATTGTTTACTCGCTCAAATGCTGTGATTATGCTCTTTTTTTGGTCCTTCAATAACTCAAAAGAAACAGTTGTAGACAACCCAGAATGCGGGAAAAGTCTGCCAACTATTCCTCCATTGCATACAACTCTTTAAGCTTACCCTGAGCTCATTAGATTGAAATAAAATCCGACATCAGCGAGTGCTCCCCTTTCTCAAGATCTGGAAATGGTTCAAATAGAGGAGGACACAGAAGAGGACGCCCAAAACTCATATTTTTCTACATCCAACAAACCAAGCAGCCGTTCTTTGAAACCCAGAGTCTGCTTCGACTTTGTTAAAGATCTATATCCAACCCTTGAGATTACCATGGGTAAACACTCATTCGAACACGACATACCGGAAGATCACACGAGATGATCTTCAAAAAACCACCAATGTAAGGAAAACAATTCATTCATGTGTACATACGCAAACGAAAACCTCAATTAGCTAAAACGCTACTTTGGAAAGGCAGAGAGAAACCAGGAGCAGCCATGTGATGGAGCCATCAGAAGTCTTTTTCAGCTAAAAAGAAGACACTTGCTATTCGAAACGCTAGCAGTTGATCATTTTGACCAGAAATTATTTGACAGTTACGTTTGCTGAGAATATATTGAGACTGAATTCTGATGTCCCATTTTATACTTTGACATTGTGTTTCAATATGGGCAGCGGCGTCCTATAATTTGAAGCGCATTTGATCAACAAAAGATCTAGCTAAGGAAGGAGACTTGAGAAGATCTTTATGACTTTGTAAGCATGTTTTAAAGCGTCTCTAGTGTCGAGATACAATTATATCCGTTCGATAATCGTTATCTGTTCAGGAAGATAAACGATTTGAAAGACAATCAGTTTGAGAGAGCATTAACCTTGATAGATCCATAAACATTTACCGGCTAGAAATTTGCATAAAATGTCTAACCTTTGAACCCGGAGAAGTGTCATTTGTCAAGTATGATACAGAGGGTATCATGTTTCGCTCCTCTTTTTCGCCATCACCACAAAAGAATTTCCGTGTCAGGGCGAATAACTTCTGCAAAAGGCCTTATTTTTTGCTTGACTATACAGTTTCGAGAGTTTAGGCAAAACAGCTATCGCTTTGCAAAATAAAAAAAAGCGACGTGGACAGGATTCGAACCTGCGAGAGCGAAGCTCATGAGGAGGTGCTATTTAACCTGCACCTCACGCCTTAACCACTCGGCCACCACATCTGTTGATGAAAAACGTAAAGAAACAAGAATTACTCAAACCAAAAAAGATGGTAAAGCCTAATATTTTCCTGATGCGAAATAAAGATTTTGTTTTATAAGAGTTGCTTGAATAAAAAAATAATTGATTTACAGCGAGCAGCGAGTTGCAGAAAGTTGGCGGCTATTACGGGCCGAGCTAAGACACTTGGTACGTAGCTGGGAGCTGTTTAAAGGTTTTTTATATATATTCGTTATACAGTTTTGCCCCTTTAATCAGATGAATCTACCAAAAAAAAAATAGGTTCCAGTCAACAACTCCTTGGAGTATTTGATAAATTTGAAGTGGTTCGTCGCCACGGTCTTAAAGCTACACTCTTGAGCATGTGGCGAGTCGCAGAAAATGAGCTGCTCAGATCATCTTCAAGCATTTTGGAACAAGGAATTTTCAACAAAGACCTCTTCTAGAACACATGTCGTAATATTCAAGAGGTAAACAGATGTGTACCAAGAGTAGAAGTCTTCTTGAAGGGAGGCATGACCTCTTTGGGAGATTTCGTGAATTCGTGTTTGCGCCGTCTCCCCTAAGCCAATATTGCGATCTATTTTAGGTATTTCTAAACAATTTTTCGTTAGTGGCGGGAATTTACATCCTCCAATGACACACTATAATACGATGTTGTTTTTTTTTTTCAAAAAAAAAAAAGAATTATTCAGGCCGCGATTGGAAAGGAAAAGAGCCGCAAAAGTATTCCTTTAATAAAAAAATATGACTAAAACCCTATGCTCCCTGACGCTAGAGCATTTGGCACCTTCAAGAAATATGTTGTTTTGGTCTCGATATATGAATGTTCAGTTTTCATATCACGTCTAGAGGTAGAAAGCAGGAAGCCTTCGATAATCAAGGCTTGATTGACTCGGGAAATGATTAAAGAGGTCCGTCCGTTGGGGCTTGGGAATATAAATTCTCTATATGGAAAAAACAAACAAACAATAGAAACTTTGAGCAATGCCAGTTTAGACAGACACCCACATTAAGACTTCTCTCAGGGGTGCCGTTGCAATCTTGTGCTTGAGTATATGAAAACAAGTTCTATTTCTCCAAGTTCTTTTTCCTGATTTTGATAATTGTAAGATTGCAAAGAGCGCATATAAATTGATCGGGGGTGCTATAATGAGTCAGTTGTTTGTATTAAAACTCTCAGGAAACAACAACAGATATTTGGACGTAAGTGCTGGCTGATTTATTGTGTTACTGAAAAGCAGATCAATCAACGAAAAAATTAATATTTATCGTTCATAGAGCATATAAACCGCGGTATTAATTTTCGGGGAAGGCGTGGCGAAAAGTGTATAAGTTGCGTAGAAACAATGCCTATTTCAATGCGGTTAATTACCTATATCTGATTGTTAAAGAATCAGACATATTGTACTTCAACTGTCATGTAGTGTCTAAGCCCGAACTAAAATTCATTAGAGAACAAGCTAGCGTTAGTTAGGATTGCACAATGTTTACTGATCACCGTGTATGTGCTCTAAACCCTGCCAAACTCATCGGCCATGCTCACCCAGATATTTCACGCGGTCAGAAGCAAGAGAAGCTTAAGGAACTACAATCTTCCCTTCCAAACACCTTCAAATAAACATGTACTACTAGTATACTGTCTTACTAACATGTCCCATTGAATAGGCCTATCTTGGACATCCAATTCCAGTATGCAGCCCTCAATTTCTTCTGGAGTGTACAAAAGACAGACCACTAATAACCTCAAACCCACAACAACCCCGTATTTACCAAAATGTTCCCGTGTGTATTTGCAGATCAGGGCCAGGTACTAGTATCGTCCTGCATGTGTGTCTTTTCGTGTCGCCAGGCCCAAGCACCTGTGCACGAACTACTGTGCCTCCAGCATCAGGCGACAATGCGCGGAGAGGTAATATACAGAGACACCACCATTAAGGCAAGTCCCCATCAGAGGTCCATAAAAAACGGCAGCTGGCACCCAGCTTTAGATGCTTGCCCATGGTACTTTTTTGGAGCCTGCCCGCCAAAACGTAATTTCTAGGACAGCGATTTGCCCGGATGTCGCCGAGGTAGAAGCCGCGGCAAGCACCGGGCCTGCATACAGAACGGCGCTCGGGCGGCGGACGTTCACCCAAGGCAAACCGCACTTTAGTCGAGAACATAGCAACATTCCTGACCACCTTACCTTTTTTCCCAAGCAAACCAAAACACAAAAAATGGTATGTTTCCGCTCTCCTGGAATGGGCAATTCTCACCGTGGTACACGCGTAGCCGCAATTGGCACGTGACCAGTCTTTTATCGCTCCGTACTAACAAATGTCCCAGTCTAGATCAGGGTATGTACCGCCATGCCGTGGCGAAAGTCGTTTTAGATTTGGTTGAAGCGGCCAAAACCGGAGAAATAGGCCGAAACCGGCGGAGCAGCAAACCAGGAGAACAGCGAAAAAAGAACCCGCAAGTAGAATGCCGCATTGTTTTTTCTCTCTTCACTAGTATTAAGGAGGGGGACAGCTGTTGCGTCATGGACAACACCAATGCGAGCCAGAAATCAGCCAACCCGCGTGTGTAGTCCCGCCATCACACCTGCAGCAGCACGCCGAATTGTGCCCTGAACCCCCCCTTTCCACAACACGCACAGTCTACCAGCATGCACCAAAAGCCGCCCGAAACGCGTCTGTTCCATGAGTACTAACACACCACAGAGTTGCAGTTGCCGACGAGTCCTTAGCCGCCTTCAATGACTTGAAGTTGGGCAAGAAGTACAAGTTCATTGTGTTTGCCTTGAACGCCGAGAAGACCCAGATTGTCGTGGACGAGACCTCGACCGACACCGACTACGACAGCTTTTTGGAGAAATTGCCAGAAAACGAGTGCAAGTACGCCGTGTACGACTTTGAGTACGAGATCGGTGGTGGCGAGGGCAAGAGAACCAAGATCGTGTTCTACACCTGGTCGCCTGACACCGCACCCGTGAGATCCAAGATGGTGTATGCGTCGTCCAAGGACGCTTTGAGAAGAGCGTTGAACGGAATTGCCGCGGACATCCAGGGCACTGACTTTTCCGAGGTTGCGTACGAGTCTGTTTTGGAGAGAGTCAGCAGAGGCGCCGGCTCGCACTGATTTATGACGATATAGGGCCGAATGCACAACAGTAAGAGCGTGGTTGTAGGGGATTTTGGAGGAGACGGGGGAGAGGTGTGGATAAAGAGGAAGGAGGGGGAGGACGGCGAGGCTTTGGACCAATGGAGGGTGGAAGAGGACCAGGCCATTGCATGCCAAAAGCGCACCTCCATCGATTTGCATGGCTTGAGTCGGTGTTCAATATAGAGAAAAGCTCTTCAAGCGTCCGTCCGGTTTGGACTGAGACCAAAGAAGATCGAAGTCAAAGTATACCCGATTATGATACGAGACACCCGGGATGTTGTTGAAATATCACTGGATCTTTCGGTGATGTGATTTAGTGGTGGCATGCATGGAATTCTTTGGAGGTTGATCAAGAAGTCATCTTTCATCGAAAGTGGAAAATGTTTTCACATTATAGTAGGTGCTGTTGCTAATTGTTTTGGGCTTTAGCAAACACAATCTATTTGGGATATCGCATGTAATACTACTTGCAGTTGTTCGAATGATCTTGATAAGACATCGTGCAGTGTATCAGTTTATGAGAAGGAACGAATGTCTCCCGGTGAGTTATGCTTTGATTGGCGAGCTTGATATAGGGGGCATTTAATCAGCTGTTAAGCACACGGTTAAATTACATTCGGGCTTTTGGATTCATCCAGGTACCCAGAATATGAGGGCCCCAAATTGATTCAAGTGCATGAAGATCAACAGCTAAAGTAAAAAGCTTTTGAGGACGTTGATGTTCTGGACTCAACTTTATTGCGTTCTGAAATTGCTAGTATCAGAATAAGTATGAGTAGAACGTCGGGTGTCGGAAACTGGGCTAATCATCAATCTAGTATGTTCCCACCAAGGACAACAAGACTGCTTTGAAGAGAACCATTACTCGAACTGATCTTGAAATCCCGAGAGGATAAAAATTGTATGTTATTCAATTAGTATAGTGGTGACCCTGTTGTCGACTTGACAAACAACTTTTAATTTTATCTTCCAAGCAAAAGAAGCCTTCTTGCGCGTCAACTGAGCCAGATACTGTTGATGAATGAGGAATCTCCAATACATAATTGCATCCATCGTGACGGTTCTCTTCTGAGAACTCTTGTTGTATACTATCACGATGCCACTCTAATTTTGAATCATCCAAATCGTACCCTTGACCAATGTTGAAAAGGGGAATTTAAATGTAGTCCGCTATTAGGCCTTCCCGTGTCCTCAAGTAAGTATGCATGTCACGACTTTTCGAACTACCCATACTAATATCCAGCTTGGTCAAAAATTATAGTTAGATTAGAACCAACCCCATCACTCTCAATGAATATTACTCTTGGGCGACCACATGAATGTACCGTTTGAAAATCAGTTCAAGGCCCTAGAATGACAGCAAAAGGCTCACACTTCACAAACCTTCCGAAAATTTACGGGTCCCTTTATTCCAGCAATTAGTATTGTTTACTTTATCAGACTAATAATGGTAGAGATAGAGTCTCCCACCAATGGAATATCCATGAAACGCGTTCTACCGAAATAGAACTTGATGAGACAAGCCAAGCAGATTTCAAAGCACAACCAGTGAGGTGTCTTGTAATGGTGAAACGTTTTAAGAATAGTCAAAGCCTTAAAGACAATCTTGTTAGGGCTGGAATTGGGTCTATCAAACCATGAAATTGATCAATGATTTATGAAAGGGCTTACACACTTTCAGCCCCCGGGGGTGAATGAATTTTTATGCCGCTCCTTCTCACGGCTTTTTAAAATGGTATTGTTCAAAAAATCATGTTTTCTGAGCCAGCAATACGTCTCTTCAAAAGAATGAATTTCAAGCAATAATGGACATGGAGAGTTTTGGGTAATTTTCGGTAATAATGCCATAAAAGCCCTGTAACTTGAGTAATTGGTGAAGGATATCTTAACATGTCACCCGAGAACTGTAGATACATCAAGCATCAGCTTGAGCGAGGGGTTCAGGAGATTGTGACCCTCGTGAAACCGTTTTTGACAATTGTTATGTAATTTAAGTCAAGAGATCAAGGCCATCGGGAAACCATTTTTGTCAATTGTTTAGACTTGAAGCCAAAAGATCCAAATACAGCTTTAAAGCAACGAATGAGCCCATCTGAGGTATACAAGAAAACCGGGCTCTGCACGTGGTGTATGAAGTTTTTATGTGGCGAGATCGGGTGTCCCGATACTACAAGTGTTACAGCAGAACGGAAATGTTTTGGAAAATGTACTAGATCAACAAAGTACATTGATGGAGTAGTCTACATGAAGGAGCACAATCCGATTGAATTATGGATCCAGTCCAATCCACGTGTCCAGCTTCCTGATCATGTCTTTTTTCCGACTATCCATATCGACACAGATCCAAATTCGTGTCTAGTTCCAGTTCCCTTCGCCGTCGGTTTCCATTTCCATAGCCATATCTAATTTTTCTCGCTTCTCCCTTTCGACTTGCCACCGTTGCCTTCCTACTTCCCTCCACAGCCTATTTCAATTCGCAGCTAATTTCCACTCGCAGCTTACCCCCCCTCCTAGCTAATTTCTTTTCGCAGCTCATTTCCCGGGTCATTCCATTTCCAGCTAATCTCCATTTCCAGCTGATCTCCATTTCCTGCTAACCTCCATTTCCAGCTGATCTCCATTTCCAGCTAATCTCCATTTCCTGCTAACCTCCATTTCCAGATAATCTCCATTTCCAGCAAATTCCCATTTCCTGCCCACCATCTAATTTTCCCTTCCTAGCTTAACCCCCTTCTCAATATTCCCCTTTCCAATTTCCCATCCCCAGCTTTCCATATCCAGCTAATAATACACCCAGCTAGTATTATTCCCAGCATATTATTATCACCAGCTAGTTTTTCATCCCAGCTTATCCCCCTCCCAGCTCATTCCCATTCCCAGCCTGTGTCTATTCGCAGCTAGTTTTCATTCGCAGCCAATTTCATTCGCAGCTAATTTTCAGTCCCAGCCTATCCGGATTTCCCAGCTAATTCGCATTCCCAGCTATTTGGATTCCCAGATGATTCCCATTTCCTGAAAATTTCCATTGCCATCTAGTTTCCCTTCCCAGCCTACTCCGACTCCCAGCTCATTCCCCCAGCTAATTTCCATCCCAGCTTACTTCCATTCTTATTCCCCTTCCCATTTCTCTTCCCCATTTTTCATCCCCATGTTACTCCCAATATTCCCTTCCCATTCCTCCCAATATTCCTCCCCATATACCTCTCAATATTCATCCCCATATTCCCCCCAATATTCCTCACAATATTTCATCCCCATATTCCTCCCAATATTTCCTCCCAATATTTTCTCTCAATATTCATCCCAATATTCCTCCCAATATTCCTCCCAATATTCCTCCCAATATTCCTCCCAATATTCCTCCCAATATTTCCTCCCAATATTCACCCCAATATTCATCCCAATATTCCTCCCAATACTCTTCCCAATATTCCCTTCCCATTCCTCCCAATATTCATCCCCATATTCCTCTCAATATTCCTCCCAATATTCATCCCCATATTCCTCCCAATATTCCCCCCAATATTCCTCCCAATATTTCATCCCAATATTCCTCCCAATATTCCTCCCAATATTTCATCCCCATA